CTGCTCTCGTAGCACTATCGTGAAGATGTTCGACGAGCCGGTTGTATTCTTCGTCGATGTTGTCGATAACGGAATCCTCCCATTTACTCGCAAGGGAAGCGAAGTGATCCCAGTTGATGGAGGTCTTGGGGCTTCGTTTCCGAAACTTCATAGCTCTCTCCCCACGCACTGAGAAGCAGAATCTAGCGCGGAGGAGACGATGGTCCGATCCCGTGTAGAACTCCGGAACAACAGCGACGTCGGTCAGGCAAAATCTCCGATTGAAGATCATGTGGTCTATTTCATTATGGAACTGTCCAACAGGTGACTCCCATGTCCATCTTAAATGAGAGGGCATCTGGAACTGCGAGTTACCATGGATGGTGTGGGTCGTCATGATAAACTCGGGCAGCCTTTCACCCTGCTCATTCCATTCCACTCCGTGAGTCCCGATGTGAAGCTCTTCAGCCGTTCTTCTGGGGCCGATCTTGGCGTTAAAATCACCGACGATGACCTTGAAGAAAGTGTGGTCTTCTCTGTAGAGCCTCTCCAGATCCATATAAAACGCTTCCAACTCCTCTTCTTCGTAGCTCGATGTTGGTGCGTAAGCAACGAAGATGGTTAGAGCTGGGATTGAACCGCATCTTCTCAATCGCAAACGTCCGATTCGGGTTGTTAAGCTTTCGTACGAATCGATGTTCATGGCCAAGTGCGTATTGACGAGGACACCTACGCCGCCGACGCCTCTACTGTCGCATGTTCCAAGGAACAGTTCTTCTCCAGTCTCAAATACAGCGTGCAGCGGGCGATGCCTTCTCGTCGCGGTCAGTCCGATGACGTCGTACTTGATCTTCCTAGCTTGCATCATCAGGTCTTCTATACACGCTTCCGATGCAAGCGTCCGTGCGTTGAAAGTACAGATCGCCATCCTAGTCCTTCTCCTTTTGGGCAGCCTGTTTTGGCCCTGAGATTTTAGCAGCCTCTCCCGAGCGGTCCTACCCAACGCTGCCGTATTGGGGGCTCCCTCAGGTTCAGGGGAATGAGGCCCATACTACGGATCTCCCCCACTGAGGGTTCTCTCTCACTGAAGAATCCCCAGCCGGCTGGTGACGAGGCTACGTAGGGCGTCCCCAGGTGGCGGATAGGGGAATTAATCGCCGACCAAAAGTCACCGGTACTTGCCCAGAGACGCAGGTGGATTCAGGGGATGGACTCCTTGATTCTGCTGTGCTGGGTCGATATACCCTCTGTTCCTCGCTGGCGATCCACGCATACGTGTGTGGAGAGTCTGTGGGTGCAGTTGGTATCCTGCCCATCGACTCGGCCAAAAGCTTGCATTCGAGTGACGATCAAGTCACACTGGGAAGTATCTGGGAGGCGATTCGGGGCCGCCTCCAAAAACAAAGCCCCTTGTCCACTTCGGGATAGCCTGGCAAGCCCCCGGAGTCAATAGCCCCCACGTCAGAGCCTGGCAAGCTGCACGTTGGGTATCTTCACGCCAAAAACAGTAATAGAAATGGGCCTCATGTATATATATACTTCTCAATATATGTGAGCGGAATTTAATGCTCCTGAGCGCGGCAAGATGGGAACAGTAGTGGTAGGTTACAGGACTAGATCTGCCCACGGGGGGCCGGCCCTGCACAAAAATTGTTAGCTTTAGACCTAGAGCGTTCGAATTTGATAAGAGTACAGGCGGCAGGATCGAGACCTGATGGCAGGTGGTAGGAAGTGGCCGAGCTACACCCCAGCCGAGGAGGTTGAGGTGGATCGAGGGGAGAGGCGATATGTAAAATGAGCGCAATTTGGGTATAGATACGATGTCAAGTTGACATAGGCGGGAGTGACCCGAAGAACGGAATGTAGGCGGTGGACCAATTTCAACACGAAGGATGAGATCCTGAAAAAGGGCTTATCAAAAGTAGCATCCGTCATAGATGTTTTCTCGACTTCCTCATTCTTTTCAGAACCTATAGGGAATGAATCAGTATTCTCGGGTTTTCTTGGTTTCATAAATGAGGTGGGTTAGAGCAAGCGTTCAGCAATCCAATAAAAAATAAAATTAAATAATATAAAATAAAAGATGCGATATAAGTAAGCAAAAAGAGAAGAAGTATATCTGTCACGTAATAAACGTATGAACTTGTTTCAAGATTGGAAGGAGTCTTTTGTCAAATTCAAATTCGCTTAGTTTTAAAATATCGGATGAAGTGTTTGACAGAAATTGATCTGAAAACCAGTTATGAACAATTCCAGAACTGGTGTGCCGGAAGCAAAGCGGGAGCAGATACGTAGCAATGCCACCTGCCAAAGCCGACCTCTCCCTTTACCGTTAGCGACAGCTGATTCTGCTCAGTTCGTCATGAACAGTCCATCTAAGGAGTACTCGTGAGTCTAGATGTCATAGTTGCAAAGTGGAGAGTATGGAGCAGTTTCGCCGACACAAAGGCTCCTTTGAGGAAGATCGAGTATCTTTGATGAGGAGAGAGAGTGAAATTGTTCCTTTAAGAATCCGAGTGTTCTTAGGTACAGGTGCGCTAGTTTGAATCAACACGACTCAGGGAAATTGTTGATTAGTGCTTTCTTTTCAAAATGCTCGTCAGAATTCTGTAAAATCTATGTGCGAAAAGCGAGCTCGAGTCGCAAAATATCTTTGATTATCTGAAAGGCTTTCAGCAGTGCACTATCATGCATAGTGGTTTAACGAAAGGTCAAGAGTGATGTTTTCTTGATTGAGCCTAACAAGGGAAGGATACTTGGTCGCAGTGGCCATTCAAGATGAGATGTATAGCCCCGTAGGTGGTTTCGAACGCTTATTTCGAATCTGTGTTCCAAATCTGCTAAACTATTCTGGGAACAAAGCTACGGGACCGGTGCCTCCCTGTGTTATACCACACTAATGAACGGATCACCGAGCCGAGCGAAGACCGTAGCTGTGCACCGGTGGCCGAGCGGGTGGTGTAGTGGACTGGTAGACATGGCATCAAGGTTCGATTCCTTGATGCATGCGCTCGTTTTGCTTTCCCATAAAATGCGTCCTAAACGCTTGCAAAACGTTTTAAGGCTCAACATTGGGCATCTGCGGAGCTCCCTCACAATTAAGGAGCATTGAAAAGGATTACAAGGAGGTCTTTTTTTTGGCCCCTCACCGGCCAAATAAGGGTGGAGTTACATTCGAACAAAAGGGGAATTTTGAACGTTTGCTCAAAATGGGCTCAAGAAGCTTCAAGGAGGAAGGTTCTAAATGATTCATAGCGTCAAAGTTATTCTATATGTTACCAGCAAATCCTCTGACCGAAGGTGGTGTCATCATACTCGATGAGGACTTTCGTTCTTGCAGCATAACATGGGCACCATCTAGGAAGAGGCGATAATGAAGAGCTTTTGAACCGTACTTTTCGATGCTGTGGAAACAAGCCCGTTATCCACTGCGAGGAAATCGAGTCCGTGAAAGGCGATCGCAACGATCCCATGCGGTCGCCCGATAATGACAGCGACGATGGACCCGTACTTTCGGAAGGATATAGAGGTGCCGGAGTGAAACGTAGCTTTCAAGTTTGTGATCTGACCCATGAGATCCAATTTTATGGCGCTGGTAGATGAGTCGATAGTCTCCTACAGTTTGAGTTGGTTGGTTGGTCGCAACATTAGGTGCAAAAGAGGCGGACCGATCTGCCCACCTATGGAAAATAGCGAATATTTATATAGGGGTCCCTTCACACGGCAGTCATTTCCACCGGATACCGCCTTCAAATCAACAATGGAAGTCCATTGGAGACAACTTCAAAGCAAGCTATTGGTGGATTCACGGTTTTGCCTACAGCATAATATTAGGTCGTGAAGAAAGTTCTTGCGGTTTTTGACGCCCAATTTTCAAATGCTCGCCGCGATGTTATTTGCTATTAGATTTTTTGCAAGTTTTATACCATTCTGAAGCGCATTTCTTGGCCTATCCAAATATATAATCGGTTTCTCCCTGGAATGATTCCTGGGGTTTATTAGAAGGTCGAAATCAGCATGGACAAACGACAGATTCGCATGATTTTTCTTTTCCAATCCAAATTGGGCAGGAGTGCGACGGAAACGGACCGGGATATCAACGATGACTTAGATCTAGGTACGATGAATCAACGCACAGCACAGTGGTGGTTTGAAAAATTTCGTACCGGTGATGAGAGCCTGGAAGATGATGAGCGCAGTGGCCGTTGGCAACGAACAATTGAGAGCGTTAGTGGAAGAGAATCCACGTACAACGCTGAAGGATATTGGCTCAAGATTGAGTGTTTCCAGCAGGACGGTTGGCATCTACATGCAGGAGATCGGGAAGTAGAAGAAGCTCGATAAGTGGGTGCCGCATGAGTTGACACCAGAAAGACCGCCGCTACGAGCTCGCCTCCGCCTTGCTTCTGCGCAACAGGAACAATCCATTTCTAGACCGTATTGTGACGTGTGATGGGAAAAGGATTCTGTACGACAACCGGCGACGATCAGGCCAGTGGCTGTACAAGGATCAAGCCCCACGACATTATCCCAAGCCGAAGCAGCATGGAAAGAAGGTCATGGTGCTGTTTGGTGGTCTGCAGTCGAGCTGATCCACCACAGCTTCATGGATCCGGGAGAAACCGTAACAGCCGAAAAGTTCTGCCAAGAAATTGACGAAATGCATCGAAAACTCCAGCTCATGAGCCCGGTACTGGTGAATAGGAGGGGGCCAATTCTACTCTACGACAACGCTCGGCCTCACGTCGCACAACTTACCCTGAGAAAATTGATGGAGCTAGGCTATGAAGCTCTCACGCATCCACCATATTCNAGGCGCAAAACCGCAAGAACTTTCTTCACGACCTAATAGTACCATGCACCACCACATTTAACATGGAGGGTCTCTTGAAAGGACGTTTACCTCAAGAATAGAGTTAGCGGATAATCATATGTGCACATAAGACGATAAATTATTGTTCTACAGTATTTCCCTAACAGTGCCAGTTAACTTTTACAGCCGCTTACAAAGCGCGGACAGTATTCGTAGAACGTGGGGACCGTATCCCTCCCAAAGAGGGCTGTGGTCGGATGACTCACTCGACCCCCACTTACCGTAAGTGGTCAGGGCACTGCAGAAGATTTCGAAACACCATTTTGAGTGCTCGGGGTAGGGAGGCGTACATATATACATATAAACGGTCAGTAGTGGTAAAATTTTTTTCATCGAATTACTATTTCCCAGAATCCTAAATCGTGCGGGAGCTCCGTAGATGCCCAATATTGAGCCTAAAAACGTTTTGCAAGCGTTTAGGACACATTTTATGGGAAAGCAAAATGAGCGCATGCATCAAGGAATCGAACCCTGATGCCATGCCTACCAGCCCACTACAGTACCCGCTCGGCCACCGTTGCACAGGTACGGTCTTTGCTCGGCTCGGTGATCCGTTCGTTAGTGTGATATAACACATCTATCTTTCAGTTCCAAGTATATTGATCGGTATCACTTTGCAAGTATCGATCTCTGTTGTAGCGGGGTTCTCATAGTAAAAGGACTTGCCGTCTGTCGGTGGCTCGATGTCGATGCGAGTAGTCAGCGCAGATTATATTTATTCGGATATAACGACAAGGCGCAAAGAATACTGTACTGCGCAGAAGAACGAACGGTCGTGTGGTAGAAGAGTGAAAGAAGAGACCAGCATAGCGCATGCCAGCGGATTTTAAAGGCCCGTTGGCATTTGCTTTGCGATGTGTGAAGATAAGCTTGGGAACTTGGGCATAAACTAAACATAAGGCCCTTATCAGATCAAAGGAATCCTTAACAAAGACATTCCTTAAAGAAATGAGAACGTTTGCAAAGATCAAAAGTTAACAATATCAAATACTAAAATGTCTACATAGATCGCAAAATCGCGGTTCCTCCGCGATACTCCCGGCCGGCGTTCTTCTAGTCCTGGAGTCGTTGAAGGTCGCGCTCCAACTGGTTGATTCGGTCCGTTGTTTGGGCAAGTCCGCGCCTCGCATGTGCCAATTGCTCCGCGATTTCATCACTTTTGTCGGGTAGCTCGCACAAGGCGGAGTGGTGGTCGTATTTCCCGCAGTGATAACAGCGCTCATAGTATTTCTTACACGACTTATCTCTACGACAAAGTTCGAGACACTCAACACACTTTCCCCTGTCCTCAATCATACGACGGCGCACATACACAGAGGGGAACTCGTCGCACGAGTCCGAATAATGCTTTCCGCTTGCTCTGCAGAAGGCGCAGCGCATGAATCGTTCTGTGTCACTTCTGACTGCTCCGTAGCCCAATCTCCTTGGCGGACATGTAGGAAGACGGCGCAATTCATCTATTATTTGCAGAAAGTTCGTGCGAGCTTGTTGGAGCTGTCGAATATCTCCTTCTATCTCTTGGCGCGCAATGGCATTCTGTTGTCGAATGCGCTCTTGTTCGACTTCTTGCGGCACCTCTTCTTCTTCTTCGCAACTTCCCCTTCCTCTTCCTCGAGTTCTTCGAGATATTCCACATTTTTGGATAGCGCCTCTTTCCTGATCGTGCATGGCCATGCCCTCCGGCACGGGCGAATTTCGGGGGGACGTCCGATCAGCCTGACCAGGTGCACGCTCCGCTTCTTCGAGGTCCTCCATCGCATTATCTTCCCGAGAATTTGCAGGCGGCGCCTCACGTCTCTCCAAGTTGACTAAAGCTGCATCGAGAGAAGATTGTAGCCTCGCCATAGCTATGCGCATCTGGTTTTGGAATTCGCGAGTGTCTTGTTGGTCTGTTTCCATCATCGATGTTCGTATCTCCACGAGCACTTGGCGGTTGCGATCAAGTTGTTGAAGTTGATCTGAAGCAACCGTTTCGATCTCCTCTGGTTGCACTAAAAGAGGATTTCCTTCTTCGTTTCTATGTGGGCGATCCATCCATGTACGCCATATATCCATCGTGATGATTTTTGCAGCGCACAACAATGCGGGCCCGGTGAAGAGGGTTCTTAGTTGGGATCGGATGAATAGTATCTCGATGCGCAGCTTTTCTACTGACAGCTCTAGCAGTGTCACGTCGTGAAGGCGATTCTCGTTGTTATTGGCTGAATGGCGCAGAGACTTTATGCGGTTGTCTAAGTCGTTCGTCCTGATAGTGCAGGCGTGGAACTCGTAACAAAGATCCATGATGTTGTGATACAGCCTTTCTGGATTTGGTAGAGGAAGTGCTCGGCGCAAATCTCGTAGTTCTTGTGTTTTCTGGTCCAGTTCTCGACGGACCTGCGCAAGTTCTTCTTCGGTATCACGGAGACGACAGCGCAGATTTTCCATGTTCTGAAAAAGGGCTCTGAGAAAAATTTCACTGTCTTGGTCCCAATGAAAGCAAGTGTGCATGTGCCATTATTGATTTTTCGATGACTAAGCATTCTACGTTGGCGGCGCTCGTAATCGTAAACTAAACAACTACATGACCGAGTATTGATTATTGTGCATGACTAAGCTCTCTTCTCCCTATGAGCCTGCCGATGCGTATATCGATCTGTGAGCGCAGCTATCAACACAAAGAGCATGCGCAACGGAAAACAGCTGATTGCCCATACTGTACGTGTAGCAAAGAAGAGAAGGCGCATTCCGATTGAGCTTATACATACGTAGGATAACAAAAGGGCTACAATAACAGCTATAAGTGCCATTATGAGAGTTTTGTACCATGTGAAGATGACGTTAGCAATGTGTCCGAAGTCGGGCCAGTGAAATTCATGGTAAATATTGTTGCGACCTTCCAGTGTTGATAGAATAGCGGGATGAAGAGCATTTACATATTTAAGAATCCCAGCGAGTACGAAAGTGTTACTTTTTGTACCACAAGCTACGGTACACTGTAACCGTTGTCGCGCAGAATCGAGGTGGAACTGTAGTACCGACTTTGGTCCACTTGACGCGCATGGAATCGCGAAGGCATGTTGACCACACAGGACCTCTCCGATGATCTCATTTGTTGAGAAACATCGAACTGTTGCATGTGCTCCTTTTGTGCAGTGGTAACAACCTTGCAGTGGAGCATCACTTATCCTGCATATGTCCTCCCGAATTATTTCCAGGGCTCTATCCACTGTCTGATTGAAGGTGATAATAAACTCGGAGGACACCATATTTGGAATTTTCCCAGACAGGGAAGAGTTTTGGCCGCGCTTCAATTCCCAAGAGGCGGTTTTGACAGGAATTTTCAGCGCGAGCGTATGAAATTCTTTTTCGATGTCGTGCGGCGGACAGTTGCAGTTGACCGTGGTTTCCGCAGCGGTACACCTGCATTTGTCGTCGACTGTGCAAGGAGTGAGCCGCTGTCCATGTTTCGCAACGTAGGGGTGAAGTGATAGTTCCTCTCCATATAGAGGTATCAACTCCGTCTGTAATGAATTCGCTTGCAAGTGCTGGAGTAGGTGGTAACGAAAGTGATGTTAGGACGAGCTGAAGAGGAGAGATCTGCACTGGAACGTTCGGGAGCGCATATATCACGAATTGCTGATTGCCTAGCGCTTTTTCTATATTTTCTACGACTACGTGCACCTTTACATGTTCTGTCCAGCGCATGCAGCGGAATACTTCGTAGACTTTGGCGTTGCGTGGAGTAGCATATATGCGATAAAACAGGCAGCCCGAACTTGGATAAAAGCACTAGCACCCTATTCCTCCACATGACTCGAGGCACCCTGTCCGTCCCGGGTGATGATTACCTTCTTCCAGCTCTTCGATAAGGCTGCTACTATTGATTGCTGCGCATTTGGAGTCTTGACACGAGCCCATAGTCGCACAGCGCTTGCTACTAATTACGTTAAGATTAACGGCGCGTGTGAAATACAGGCTTTCTTGCTCACAGCGCAAATACAATCCTCGCCATCGAAGTTTGATGTTCGCCACTAGGCTGGAGTTTCGCACAAGATGCAAACAGGCTTGTTGCCTATATGGACTGAGCTTCATTACTTCAGTGAGGGCTACGGTGCACTTTTCTTTACCATTTACTTCCCGACACGCTGTGGAGTGATGCTCCAGAATATTCACCTGTTGACAAGTGTTAGCGCAGGACGAAGTAAAAAATAAAATCGCAAGTGCCGCTGCGAGGCGATCTCGTGCCGAAGGCTTCCTTCCGAGTTTCCGCACCAGAAACATGAGGCAGCGTTTGAGAAGGCGCATAAGGAACAAAAGAGTTAACCGTGCACCTATCAGTATCAACCGAATCGGCTTTCCGATAGTCATAGGGACGTAAAGTAGGAGGTAAGTCACGGCAACAAAAATGTACAACATGAATGCGATCGTCACGATTGCTCCGGTAGGCCAGCATTCTGGGTTTAGAAGCACTGAAATACATATCCGGCAGTCAATATTGGAGCAGAAGTCTAACCCCTGACACATTGTCGATATCGTAGCAAGTTGCTCGTGTTGAGTGTGCCATTTTACGATAACCTTATGGTCATGGAGAGTGACTTCAGGTGGAAATCGCACAAGATGTTCTCTCTTTTCCACATCTTGGATTTTGCAAAGGTTGTCCGCGCAAACCTCTACTTCCTGAGAGGTGAATGAATGCAGCAGTACCCCATTTTTTGCACAATCTACGTGTAATTTGCTGGCGTTGGAGAAGTGAAGAAGGGCTAAAACCATAATATGAAAGAGGAACCACCGGGGAGATCGAGTGTGCGAACGATTTTCCGGAGGCGCGGTGTTCTGCACGTTGTGCACTTCCCGTCGTGGGCGCAGGTTATATCTGGGTTCCTGCTGATGCGACACTATTCCGTTATCTCCCGGTTGTTCTTCTGATAGTTGCGCACTCTCCCTGCTATCTTGTATTTCGAGAGGGATGAGAAGATTCACAGGACGTCTTATTTTCCTCTTTGTTGCTGTAAGGAGTTCCGCTTCGCGTATTTCGCCATCCTTGTCGCGTTTGACGTCAGTTATCCGCGCCATTTTCCATTCGTTCCGTGGAAGGACAGGATTGCTCACCAGCACTACATCTCCTACAGTGGGAATTTCTTTTCCAAGCCTGCGATTTGAGACAACCATTTTATGCGTTTCTCGCAGAGATGTTAAATATTGCGTCTGCCATACTTTCCAAAATACTTCTGTAGCTTTGCATGAACTGTGCAGTGCTTCTATCACTTGTTGTCTGTAGTGCATCGAGCGCATCTCTTCCGGTGGGAGATAATCTGAGTCCTCATTGTCTATGCGCTCTGGAGCTGTTAAAGTCAAGCAAATGTCTTTTTGCAAAAAGTCGATGGGGCGAATAGAACTCAGTTCTTCCTGTGTTGATGCCTGGTAAGTCAAAGGTCTTGAGTTGAGACAAGCTTCAACTTCTGTGGTTATAGTTTGAATATCGTCAAATGACCGTCCTTCCGTACCGCGCATGGCTTTATAGATCGAGTGTTTTATTGATTTAATTAAGCGCTCATAAAACCCACCTTGCCATGGCGCATAGGGTGTGATGTGGTTCCACTGGATCTCTCTGTTGGCCACTGAGCGGAGGACGTCCATATTAAGTTGAACATCTCGATTCCCCAAGATGTTAGCGCTTAGTAGGAAAGTAGGTGCATTGTCACAAGTAATAGATTCCGGAAGGCCTCTACGTGCAACAAATTTTCTGAGAGCGTTGATAAATTCATTGGTGGACATGCCTCTTACAACTTCGATGTGCAGTAGTCTTGTCACAGTGCATGTAAATATGCAGCCGTACAACTTATAGACCTCTCCCTTTTCATTACACGGTGGAAGGTCAAAGAAGTCTAGTCCTATATGCTGGAAGGGACGACATCGAAGGACACGACGAAGGGGTAGATCCGTTGTATTGGGATAGTGATATGGTAGTGCATTGAAACGTCGACATTGGACGCAGTGCTTTGCTGTTGTTCGTACCTGCTGCTGTNTGTTCGCGCACAGTAGCTATTGTATGCTCAATACCTCTGTGGTAGGAACCGTGCGCTTCCTCTATGATCTTCTGTACTAAGGCTGTATTGGGCGCAACAAATATAGGGCTTTTTGCGTCATCACTCAGTGCAGATTGCCCTAATCTCCCTTTTGAGCGCCATATGCTATTGTTGTCTTGATAGAGTCGCAAAGTATTCTCCATGGACTTTCTATATTCTTTTGTCACGTGGATAAGTTGATGGTTGCGAATCAAGGCCAACTTTGCTGCTCGTACTTCACGGCCACTCAATGGATTTGCGGAGTCCTCGATACTATTCAGTTCTGGAATATGCGCAAATATTCGCTTGCTTAAAACTTCTGCTCTGCTGCGCAGAAGCTTCTTTATGAAACGAAGAACTGGCGCTGTTACACGTTTAGCAATGTATAGGGAGCCGTATCTGCTTCATTCAAGAAGGTCTTCGATGTCCACGTCTCTTCCGTTAACGACGTTTATATTTGTAGATTCTTCACTGTCAAATTCCGCAAATGCGGGTGTATCACTAAGTTTCAAGGGGTAAAAGGTGGTGGTCCAATGCTGCACTGGGGTGCGCAAAAATGGTGGGCCACTCCACCAGCTATGCGTAGTGATTTGCTCCTTAGTAAGTCCTCTAGTTCCTGCATCCGCGGGGTTCTCCAAAGTGTTAACATAGCCGAAAACAACGGTCATTGCACTATCTTCTAGCTGGCATACGATTCTGCGTATTTCGCGTAATCTGTTTTCTACTAGTACTCCCAGATTTGCACGACGGATTGAAGATAGCCAACTAAGGACTATTTGTGAGTCAGAAAAAATGTAGATGGTAGTGGCACGTTCAAGTTCATGTAGTTTAAGCGCTTGGGCAGCTGAGAAGGCTAGGCGCGTCGCTAAAGTAAGCGCATTCATTTCTAATTTCGGCATAGTAGTCTTCGTTTTTATTGATGGCAGCTTACTTTTTGCTATCATCAACGAAGAATTACACTCGGAAAAGAGATATGCGCAAGCGGCAATGGCTACTTCGCTTGCGTCCGCAAAAACTGCAAGAGACAGTTCCGACAAGTCGGTACAATAGCGCCTTGGAAGAGATTTTTGAAAACCATTGATGTTTTCAAGAATGTCGATCCATCGGCTGGCGACTTCCGGTGGCAATTTTGTGTCCCAATCAAACTCTTCCCTCCAAAGGTCTTGCTGAAATTTCTTCGCCGGCATGAGTAATGGGACAAGCCATCCCATGGGATCGTATATGGATGCTATCTGGCGCGCAACGCTACGCTTCGTAATGGGATCACTTACAGTCAAGGAACACCGAACTTCTAAGCTATCCGTTTCTGAGTTCCAAGTGATTCCGAGCACCTTTTGCACCAGTGATTTTGCGTATGCGTTCTCTGGTAATTGCTGACGCAGGGTCTCATCATTGGACAGGAATTCCCTCAAGTTCATACCCATCTCTTCAAAGATTTTTCGCGCTTCTAAGGACTTTCTAGCGGCCTCAGAAGGTGTTGCGGCAGAGAGAATAAGGTTATCGACATACAAATTCTCTCGTATTTCATTCGCAAGCTCCTCGTTCTGCATAGCGCTTCGCAGATGGTGATTAATAGTTGCCCCAAGCAGGTATGGAGATACATTTAGTCCAAATGTTACTCGAGTAAATCGAAACGTTGCTACATTGTGTATGCCAAACGGCTCGTTTATATCGCGAACCCATAAGAATCGCGTAGCATCTCTGTCAGCTTCATGTAAGCGCACTTGCAAGAAAGCTTTTTCAACGTCAGAGATGATTACGTACTTGGGGTTCCTAAAGCGCAGCAACATGGCATACAATTCTGGAAGGATGAGGGGTCCTTGATGAAGGACGTCATTCAAAGAAGGGCTATCTTTGAAATGAGCTGAGGCGTCGAATACAATGCGCAATTTAGTGGTCTCCTTTTGTGGCGTGATCACTGGCTGATGAGGTATGTAGTGGACGATAGCGCCATCAGTGTGGGAGGGGTTTTAAACTTCTTCGATAACCCCGATTTCTTGCTGCGCATGGAAGGTCTTATCGTAGTCATTTAGTAGTTCCGGAGTTCTTCGTAGTGTCTTCAAGACTGTCTTCAAACGCTTGAGCGCAATTGCTTTATTGGTTGGCAGCGGAGGGTGATTTTCCTTATAAGGGAAACGGATATAATAACCATCCTCGCGCTTCTCGATCGTCTCTTCGAAAAACTTGGCGACCTTCGCATTTGTGGCATCCTTTTCGGCATTCTTTGTTCCTGTGAATTCGCACACACCAGCTGAATCCATGGTCCAATATTTGTCCCATCGTTCCAGCTCTTCGTCGAAATTAGTGAAGGAGTTGATCAAGGTTGCTTCAACTCTATCAGTCATATTCCCTTGTTCTTCTTGTGGTGCTCTCATTTGTTGTCCCGTGAGCAAGTATCCCAATTTAGATGGAACAAGTTGCAGTCCGGAAGGTAAGGTGTGACGGGGATGAGGCACATCTAAGAAATTCCACAGTTGGTCACAACCCAAAAGAATCTGTGGCTTCAACGAGCTTTCGCACTTATCTCTTGACAAGAAAATCTTGTGCCGAGCAATGTATTCTAGATCTACTGAACACAGTTGCGCCGTTTTACTTTTTGCAGTTAGAACTGGCGTGGTATAAATGCGCAATTCGTGCTTATCACCTTCATGGTCCCACAGGTCCAACATGGTCTCTCCACATGTGGTTTGCCTGGGAGTTTCTGTACCAAAGGTGTACATAACAAATGTCTTTTGCGCCTTGCATACAAGCCCAAGTTCATCGGCTAGTCCTTGACTAATAAAGGATTGATCAGCGCCTGTATCAAGTAAGACTTCCACGTCTTTCCAGACGTTTTGAACCGAGTCTCTTACTCGAGCTACTCCAGTCAGTAAAATGACATCAGTCCCTAAGTTTTGACTCTTGCTTTCTTTGCCTGAAACCACCTCTTTCTCCATGGCGGAAAGGACCGTCGTTGAGTCGTTTTCCTTTTCGCATACTACTGTTGCTTTGTCTGCGCAATGCGCCGTTTCAATCAAGTGCGATTGCGCAGATTTTCCCTTTTTCTGTGGCGCTGACCGCTGATTTGTTCGGGAACTTTGTTGCGCAGTAGGGCTAGTTGGCTGCGTTACCGCATGTGCTCTTTTATCCCGTGCTAGTTGCACCGCTGCACCTCGTGCTGTCTGGCAGCGCTGTGGGCAAAGCGTGTGGTGGTGTTTTTTACCACTACACGTTTTGCACCCATCCTTTGGACATTCTTTTACGAAGTGTCCTACGATAGCACAGTTTAAGCATCTGTTATGCTCACGGAATACTGTGCGTCTTTCTTCAAGCGTATTGAATTTCTTACAAAACACTGATTTATGGTCTTCAGTGCCGCAAAATATACAACTTGCACCCCCCATAGGTGTCAATTTAGGTCGCTTACTTTCTCGAAAAAAAGATACATTTCCATTGGGTTTGGTATGAACCATATCATTTATTCGCTCCTCCACCGATATAATTTCGTCAAGGTCGGCTAAGGCATTTTGCAGTACCCACGCGCTTTCGTCTGAAGATGACTCTAACCTCCGTTTGAGTACTTTCCTCTGAAGATCGACGGAAAATTTCGTAAGAATCTTCTGCACGAGGAACGATCCGTCGAGGGGTACCCCTTTTTCCGTCAACTGCGTTACTATCGGGATGATATTTT